AGAATAATAATAATAATAATAATCAGGGTGATACGGCCAGTCCCGTTGCTTATTCCTTTGAGTGCCCACGCAGGACGCGGCGCTAGCCTTTAACGAATTTCACGGTCAATTTTTTTTGGATGTATAGACTGCCTAGGGCACCAGTTTCGGAAGGAAAAAGCGGACACGTCAGGGTCGGGCGTCTGTGGCTCTGTATTCAAATAGCAGGGGGTGCAGAATCTAGGAGGCTGGGATTTCTAGATGGAGAGGCGAGAGAACGAATGCCAACAGTAGATCCTGACATTCTTCCCTCCGGCGTCGGCTTGAGTTTTTATGCTTTTCTTGTAGATCGATATATTGTGAAGGTATATCTAGAAGAGGAAACAGGGCTACAAGGGACTACTCTCTTGATGTACAAGGAATGAATCAGAATGATAATGACTGGATTGCTTAGGATTGCTTGAGGATGAGCGCGAAGTCTTTGCGAATAGAGTGGACAAACCAACCTGCATTCGGGGCGGTTGGGTTTTTATTTAGATAACCGGCGGGTTTTCGGAGGGTTGGGTTACCGAAGCGCAGAGGGAGTATCGGGCAACAATGCATTCTGCCCAGGTCCAGGTCACAGGTCATCTGGCCACAGCTCAGACCTCACCAGACACCGCTAGTTACCCGATGATCACTTATATAGTCAATGAATTGACCAATCAAAACCCTAAACTCTTTATATAGAAATACCCTTAGAGATCTATGAAAGACTTTAGGCGGAGGATGCGGCGATCAAAGGACTTCTCAGTGAGAACGACGGATGGTTAGGAAGTGGTCAGGGAGAAATAACATGCTACTGTAATACATAATTATTACAAGCACAGCGTTGAACTACGTCCGAGTAATTGTGGGTCATACCAAGCAATACGCTTCCCGATGATACTGTATCATTTGCGGGAAACCAGAGCCCGCAAGCTGAGGCTGATTCAGCGCTCTCTCGACGATGACTGAGAGATTGATTCAAATCGACGCGCAGCGAAACTGTACATGAGTATAGAATGTTCTTCATTCGCTCCTCCACTCAATAATGATCGTTACATTATCGGACCCAAGCCATTCATCCAGTCTTATCGCCCTCAAACCCTTCTTTTTCTTTCCCATGCTCAATATTCTCGTCGTATGCCACATCTGGATGGAGGAAATCTAATTCTTATTGCTGTCAGGCCCGGGCCCGTGACATGCATATGTGATACACTCAAGCCAAGGCACGACCCACTGAAGTTCCATGCAAGAAACATAAAAGAAGCAGACGTTAGTTTCTAAGACTATACCATGATTAACATTACATCTAAATATCAGAATGGGGAAGACCGGCCGGCAGCGGTAGTGTAGTGGTAAGCACACCGCGGCGGCCTCCAACGGCGAAAGGGTGACCTGCCCACCCCTAGCATGGAGATCGTGGGTTCCATTCCCACCACAGGCGCATCATTTACCACAGAAATGGGCTTATCTTCCTAGTTTTCGCGCACGGCGCGGTCTCTGGTTTGTGTCTGAGTGAAAGGGTGCCTCGGGCACGCTAGCTCTAGGGAAGTGAGCCATACCCGCGTGCTAGCGCGTAATCTAGCCACGTCTGCGTGCTGGCGCATAATCCAGCAATGCTAAATAAAGCCTAACCCCAAATGGAGTAGAACCAGTTCTGCACCGAGGAAAAGGGCATGGGAAGACCATGGTAATGGAAGCTAGCAGAAGCCACGTGGCTATCAGATAGGGAAACTGGCCTTATCCATAATGGAGCTGGGGTGAGCCAGCTCACGATGTATCTAGACCTAGGTCTCAGGAAGTGGTGAAACGTGTGGTCCCTCCTTGGAGGAACCTCGTCTGTCATAGCCGGAAGGCTCTATATGGACGTTAAACTTGATTAAATAAATAAATAAATAAATAATGGGGGAGACTTGCGCTGGGTCCTCACAGACGAAGGATTCACGTACAACTAGGGAATCATGGGGGAGTCAAGGTTGATTCTGATTTGGCCTAGCGGAAACTATCCCATTATTCGATCAATTTTCCAAGTCCAACGTAGAATGAACCAAACTGAATAAAGGAATTGCTTGATTGTAAGAGCATGAATTGCTAGCCAGTGTCCGGACGGTGTTCAATCAAGGTCTACTCGATATCTTTAGAAGGTTGGCGACACTGATGGGTGAGAGGGGAAAGCTCAGAGATATCCTTATATCTGTAATATTCAAATGTATGTAGGATATGTAGTAATCAATTCAGTCTGCAAGGAGAAGTGTCTGTGACGATACCTCATCGTCCTCTGTGGAGAGATTGTCCGATTTACAACTGCATAATCCTTTCTATCACCGATGAATGAGTGTGGTTATATAGACATTCCGGCTGTCCCTGATTCCAAGTCATTGCCACCTAATCTTCAATCTCCTGCCACTATCTCACTATTGCTGCCTAATCTTCATTCTTATTATATATATTTATGCTCCTAACACCCTTCGTCTGAGCCATGTACTCGTCGAGCTTCGGGAGAAATTCCTTCATGAAAACTCCGTCAAACATCTCCTCGATCTTATCTACCTTCTCTCCGCTCTCGTCAAACCATACAAAGACAGCATGCTCGTTGTTGTATGGCCCGAGCGGCGTGTCCGCCTTCGTGATGGCATAGATAACGGCCTTGCCCTGCGCCGCGTCGTGCACAACGTTGTGGACTGTAAGCTGCTCGTTCTCAAGTCAGAATTTGTCTGTATTTCAAGACGGAGCCCTGATGCCCACTTACCTGGAAGTTTGTCAAGACTGACATGAGAACGGGGAATAGTTTCTCGGTGTGCGCGCGCGTGCGGACCGGCACCGCAGAACTGAAAGGCAGTGTAGTTTGTGTGCAATCGTTGGACCAGCTAGCGAGGAAGCCGTCGGCCGTCCATCCGCTCCAACCCTTGATGAACTTCTCGAGCGTTGCCGCTTGGACTTCAGCCGGTGCGGGCATGGTAACGTTGGCCTGTAGGGCGTGATTGAATGAGAGATGAACGGGTTTCAATGTCTACTGTTATACAGATGCCCGGGAGAGTCTTCCCTTTTCTTGAATACTTTATTGCAAGTCTGGGAGATTGAAAACACGCTCTTCTCAGTTCTTCTCGGAATATCACACCATGTGGAACATTTTTCGGTGTCTCGCACAGGGACCGGACATCGGCAGATACTGCAGCAGTTGCCGCATCTGGTAAACCCCGATGAGAACCGCAATTCATTGGATTCCGACGCTTTAGTCCATCCAATTACAAATTGCCCGAGATAAGCTGGCCCTGGAATCCCTATTGATCCTCTGGATGTCCAGCGGGATCAACATGCACATGACGATAATTTTGAATGGCTTGCTTGTCACTATCGTTGCTTGACAATGTTACCGGTCGACAATGGAGGGCCAAAGGTACTCGCGACCTGGCGTGCTATTTCCGCTACTCCGTACAAGTGTTCATCGGAAGATGTCCCAACATCCTCACTGAAAACATAAGTCAATGGAGCAGGCACCAAAATTTCGTTCAAACACTCAACTGAAAAGCAGCTGGACTAAGGTCGTTGGAAATCCATGCCATTGTCTACAGCATTGCAGGGAACCCGAGAGCAGATGGGCGAATGCGCTCTTCGGCGCATCTGGACGACGGAATGGACGGCCGAATGTCGCTTGCCCAGGGCAACGGCGGTTGCGTTTGACTGGAAGCGGACATCCAAGGGTTTATTACAGCTAAACGGCTTCACAGAAGTACAATAATAGATGTAGTCGCATAACTATTACTACTGTACTGCTCTGCTCTGTAGATTTACATAGCTAGTGACAGTATACTGATATATTGCTCAACGCCTGGTGGCCAAGATGATCTTGGCCGGCCAGTGTCCCTTGACCGGCTGGTCCTTGATGACGTCCTCCATCTCGCGCCACAACTCCGCAAAGGCAGCGGTGTCTTCTCTGACGAACGGGAACGATGCGACGTGCTCTCGGACGCCCTCCAGGTCCGTCACGAAACTCCAGCCCTCCTCCCTCTCGAACACCTCGACATCGTTCGCCCCGGTGTGCAGAGGCTCGGTCACCTGGATGTCTGGTGGCAAGGGTGCCGTTATTCCTCCTTTCTCCATGTTCAGATGAATGCGCTGCGCACCCGGCAGGAACAGCGCCTCATCCAGTGGCGCGACGTTGTACGGACCTTGTGTCCTGGCCATTACCGCTATCAGTTTCTCTGGATCATCGGTCTTTTCCAACAGCGCGCGCCCGCCGGACTGGTGGATCCGGGTGTAGATGTCTTGCACCCGCTCATCCTCGAAGCAAGCAGCTCCGAAGGCGGCACATGCAAATGTTCCGCCAGGCCTCAACTGTTTCGCAATGACTTCCATGGCCACTTTCTGGTCGCAGAAATGCATCACGTTGGTAGCAAAGACCATGTCTACGCTGCCATCGGGAATATCGTCACCCTCCTCCACGCGGGCGGCGCGGTAACTGAATCCATCGGTGCCTAGTCGATCTTTGGCGAGGGCGACATTATCAGGTGCGATATCCGAAATTATGACATGCTGGAACTTCGACCGTAGCTTGTCAGCGTAGGGGCCGTTTCCGGCCCCTACGTCGTGGACGGTGCCGAATTTGCCATGGTGCTCCTGGTGGTAGCGGAAGAGCCGCTCGAAGAAGACGTCCGGAACAGACGGCCGGCCCTTGAGATAGTTGTTCCAGAACGCCTCGTCCTTGGCGAAGAGTTTGTCCTTGGAGTCAAAGGGGGCCGGAGTGGTCATCTTGCTAGCCGTGGAGGTGTTCTTGGTAGAGCTGAATCGTGGCAATACCCTCTCGTTTCCTATTGTACAGCGCGATATATAGACCCATTACCCGCCGTGGGTGGCATCACACCTGAGCTCAATTCTGTGCAGCAGTCCGTAGGCTAAGCAAGCAAAAGGCTGCTTCCGCTCGGATGTCGGGAAGCGAAGCCAACACTTCTTCATGTCCGAGATCCTCTCCATGGAGCGCTAGATCTGTCGGGCTATCACGCCTCGTGCGCTCTGATCCTGACAAACATAACGTGTAACGACTTTTGCCAATTTCACAAGCGTGAAGTGTCATGTGTTTAAAGTTCGCTGTCGGAACTCGGGCCAAAGAAGGGCTCGGTCCATTTATTACAGAGAGGGCAGATGAACAACATCCTAGCAACGGTTATGAGATTATCGGTAAGATAAATGGATAGAATCGGGCAACTAAGGCCCGAATACGAGGGAGATTTGCGGACTAGACGACTTTTCCAGATTCCCGAGCTTTCGGTCTAAGTCATATATGCCTTGCGCTTCTCATCTCATCGGCTTAGGTATTCCACCGTGAACGGCATCTTACTGTTTCAAGAACTTTGAACAAGCATAAGCCAGTGTTCCGCAGATCAACACTTTTGTTTCTAGCGAGGTTCCGAGTTGAAAATGGGAGAGTATCTTGTCGACGGGGACAAAGATGAATTCGATCCAGATAAGTGGACGTCGAGTAGCCCAAACGAGCTCCCACAACGTTGCCCGGAGACGCACCTCAATGTGCTGGTCGTCGGTGGAGGCCCATCCGGACTGATGACGGCGCTGGAGTGCTGGAGGAGGGGGCACAATGTTGTGGGGATCCTAGAGAGGAGGCCAGGCCCGGTCTATGCTGGTTCGTTTGTTGACCCGATCCCCATGGACTCGACCGGATGGACAACTGACGATAGTCTTCGGAGGTTTGCAGGAGACATTATCGTCATAGGGCCTTCGGCTATAGGCACGATGCGCTACTGGCCGGATATGTGCCGTGAACTCGAAGCAGACCGAACCGACAGCGTGATGTACTATCGGTGGCATACCGGCGAGCTCATCCTGGGCCCAACGTCGCTCTGGTACAACGACCCTGAGTACCTGGCCAAACGGGAAGGCCTCCCATTCGCGGCGCCCCATCAGGTTCGCAAGAAGTTCTACCGAATGCTGCTGCGCCAGGTGGCCAGGGTCGGCCTCAGAGTCGAATACGGCCAGCGCGTCGAGAGGTACTTCGAGGACGAGGCGGCTGGGGTGGGTGGGGTGGTCACGCAGAATGGCACGATACGCGTCGCGCACATTGTTGTGGCGGCCGATGCCTTGAGGACGCCCTCCGAGCTGCTCATTGCCGGGGAGCACATGCCCGCTCGGTCGAGCGGCATGTCCGTCTACCGTGCGGCGCTCCCGACTGAGTTGGCCATGCGTGACGAGGCGTTCAGGAAGCGGTTTGGCGACGTTGTGGCCAAGGGAACCTCGCATCATGAGTTCTGGATAGGACCTGGCATGCACCTTGGCCTCTACGTCTCGGGGGAATTTGTGGCCTGGGGACTCACGCCGCGCGACCGCTTCCTGCAGCCGGGCGGGGAGGAGCCGATTGAGTCCTGGGACCCGGACGTCGACCCCGAGGAAGTTGCCAAGGTGCTCCGCCGCATCCCGGACTGGGATCCCGCCATCGAAGGTCTGGTGCGCGCCACTCCGAAGGGCGCGGTGGTGCACTGGCCGCTGCTCTGGCGCAACCTCCGCCGGGAGTGGACGTCCAAAGGTGGGCGGGTCGTGCAGGTGGGTGATGCAGCGCACAGCACTATACCGGCCTCGGTCAGCGGCGGTACGCTGGCCATCGAGGACGCCGTGACGCTGGCAGCATGCTTGCAGCTCGCATGTTCCGGCGGGCCAAGCGGTGGACCCTTGGGAGCTCGGATCTACAATCTGCTCCGATACGAGCGTGTCAGCTGTGTGCAAAAGTTGTCCTTTGTGAACTCGGAGAGCCTGGGTGCCGGGAATAAGGAGGAAGTGAAGAAGGACCCTGAGAAGGTCCGTGTCCGGTTTCCGAAGTGGTTATTTCAGCACGATCCAGAGGCCTATGTGTATGAGAAGTACGGGCAGGCGTTTGCGCATCTGGTGTTGGGCGCCGAATTCCAGAATACCAACTTTCCTCCGGGCCACAAGTTTAGGCAGTGGACAATCGAGGAGATCCATGAGGCTGTTCAGGCCGGGAAGAGCGTTGTTGATTTCTTGGATGGAGATTGGTCGTAGGCTTCCGTCTCCCATAGATTACAGGTCGAGTCTGTAGAGAAAACAGAGAATTCTAGACACTATCACCCTCTATGGGAAAACGGACATTCACGAGCGTCCTCTTCACCTGTTTGTCACATCCTCTCTGCTCCCTCCGCTGGTCCGTCATCGTCTTGCAGCGGAGTCACACTACGGATCCGAGCAGCTGCGTCTTCAGCCTGCTTCCTCGTCCCCCTTCTTCAACACGTTCTGGAGCAGACGAACTAGCAGGAGGAGGTTGAGCTACGTAGATTGTTCTCTGCATAAGTAACTAGCGGGCGTAAGATACGAGACATGGTAATCGTATATTAATGTTCTAACTGTCAGAGATGTCGATGAAGAGAAGTCTGATTTGGGTAGAAGATGCCAAGTGGCACGTCTATATAATAGGTGCCGAAGCTGACTAAGCCGGAAAGGGGCAAACCGAAATCTCCGACA